TTCAACTAATCTGTGTCTTTTGACTGGGGAGTTCAGTCCATTGATATTTAAAGTTATTAATGAAAGATGTGTATTTATTCCAGTCATTTCTATTTCTGTTCACATTCTTGGTGTAGCTGTTCCTTGCCATAGTTATACCTTCATTAAGTTTCTTTCTTTATCCCCTTAGGTATTCCTTTCTTCAGCTCTTTGTATTGCTTGTTTTGTTTTAAGAACTCTCTAAAGGGCTGTCTTTGTGAACATGAATTCTTTCAGCCTATTTATGTCATAGAAGATTTTTCTTTCCCCTTCGACTATAATAGACCTTGTGGCTAGGTAAAATAATCTGGGTTGGGATCTTTGGTCATTTAAAACTGGGAATACTTTGGTCCAGGTTCTTCTGGCTTTCAAGTTTGCACTGAAAAGCCAGCTGCGATTCTGATGGGTTTTCCTTTATATGTGGCTTGTTTTTCTTTTGCAGCTTTCAGTATTCTCTCTTTGTTCTGTAGATTTAGTGTTTTTACTATAAGTCATGGAGAGTTTCTTTACTGCTCCTATTTTGTGTTCTAGATACTTATTGTATTTATATGGGCATGTCTTTCTTTAATTTGGGGAAATTTTCTTCTATAATCCTGTTGAAGATCTGGTTCTTACCACTATCCTCAGATTCTTCTCCTTCCTGTATGCCTATGATTCACAAGTTTAGTCTTTTTATGTTGACACACTATTACTGCATATTCCATTCTTGTGTTTTCTTAAAATTTTCATCATCTTTGCTTTAATGGTCTAATTCATCTACTTTATCGTCCAACCTTGATATTCTGTTTTCCATTTCATTCATCCATCCTATTGATGAAGTTTTCTCCTGTTGTTTCTAATTGGCTTACTGAGTGTTTCACTTCTTCATTTCAGCCTGAGATTCTTCACTTTTTCTCTTTTCTGACTTCATTCAGAAGTTTACCCCTATCCTCTTTCAGTTCTTTGATTTCTTTGTGTGTTCTTCAAATTCACTAAATTCTTTTATCACGTTTATAATTGTTCTTTTGTATTCCTTGACCTGTGTTATGTCTTGGGGGTTCTCATTGTACTCCTCTACAGGGCTGTTGGTACTTGGTGGTGATATATTATTTGGGTTTTTCACGTTATTATTTTTTCTCTGTGACTTTGAAATGTGGATTTCTTTTGTAGTTTCTGATTCTTGTGTGAGACTCAAGCCTTCAATTGTCGAGTTTAGGTTTGCTTCTTTTTGCAAACTTTATCTGCCTTTGTGGTTTACTTGTTGGACATGAAAAGCTGGTTGGTCTAGGTTTCAGGTTCTCTCTTTCGATTTTATATTGGAGGGGCCAAATTGCTTTCATCCTACCGCTCAGGAGGTCCCCCAGAGGCCCCAAATCGTATGAAGATCAGATGCTCTCAAGCTTTTTCCTAAGGTCTGAATCCCTCCAGCAAAGATGCTCCCCTCAGGATTTTGGGGGCTGGGCTGGCCTGGAACCAAGGCCCAGGAAAGATGCTGGCCCTGGGAAGCTGGGGGACAGGGCTGACCAGGGATGCAAAGGGAGGTGGGGGTGGGAATTGGCCCTGAAGGCTCTCAGGGACTACAGGGAAGCATTGGGTTGGTCTGGATGTAAAGGATCAGAAAGCAGTGGGGAGTCTGTGCCAAGAGATGAGTCCATAGGTCTGGGGTGCCAAGACAAGAAATGGGCCAGTGCCCATGCTAGGTAGAGAGAGCAAGTGGGGGAGCTAGGAGGGTGAATGAGACTGGGGGAGTCAGGTGCCTTCGGCCCTGTGGATTTTACCAGGAAAGATGCTGGCCCCAGGAAGCTGGTGGCTTTGCAGCTAGGGATGTAAAGGGAGCTGGGGGGCAGGGTGAGGCCCTGAGCACTCTCAGTAACTACAGAGAGGAAGTGGATTGGTCTGGAGGATCAGGAGGCAGTGGGGAGTCTGAGCCAAGTGGTGAGTCCAGGGGTCTGGGGTGCTAAGACAAGAAATGGGCCAATGCCCCATCTAGGAGGAGAAATGGGGTGAGGGAGCTCTGAAGGTGAATGAGGCTGGGAGAGTCAAGGTTCAGTGGGTGCTGCTGGAGTTACCCAGGAAGGATGATGGTCCCAGGAAGCTGGTGGCTGTGCAGCCCAGGGATGCAAAAGGGGTGGTGTGGGAAGAGGCCCCGAGGACTCCCAGGGACTACAGAAAAGAATTGAGTTGTTCTGGAAGCAGTAGGGAGTTTGAGCCAAGAGATCATTCCAGGGGTCTGGGGTGCCAAGACAAGAAATGGGCCAGTGCCCAGGCTAGGAGGAGACATGGGGTTGGTGAGCTGGGAGGGTGAATGAGTCTGGGGGAATCAAGGCACAGTGTGTGCTGCCGAACTTACCTAGCAAAGATGCTGGCCCCTGCTTAATAGATTACTTTTTAAGGAGCAGTATATAAAATGATATATTGTTATTTCTTTTCTACTGAAGTGTTGGATATTTCCAAACCTTTATATTTATTGATGTAGGCACACATGTATGTATACACCTTCCTATAAGACTGCAATGTCCATTCAGTGTTATGCTGTGAATTGAAAAGTTTTTCATATTTATGTGTAAAAATCCATGTTACTTTCTCAGCCATTTAAAATAATCACCTCTTTCTTTTTTTCTTCTAGGTAACTTTCAAAGCATCCAGGCACTCAGTTTCCCCAGATTTAAAGTACGTTCTTCTGGCATATGATGTCAAACAGGTAAAGGAATGCTATTCATAGAGAAAACGCTACTCTGTGATTCAGTGAGCTCGCCACATAGTTTTAATTAGCACTGCTTGGGCACACTAGGTGCTTTGCACAAGAGACAGTTATAGGTGGCATACTTGAATAGGAAACAACTGGGACAATCTCTCTGGTGGCAAGGATTAATGTGATAGGTTTCTGCAAATGTGACAAATGGAGGCTTGTGGAATTTTCAGGATAATCCCAATAGCATGCACTTGAGTATATGGAGACTAGAGGATTTCCTGCCATGTCCTAAGCTACAGCATGCACATTGTGAGCATACTGTTTCAAATAATGATCAATGTGGATTATATACTTCAGTGATATTTTTAAAACTCTTTTTTACTACATTTGTGTGTGTCCGTGTGTATGTATGTGTGCGTGTGTATGTATGTGTGCGTGTGCATGTGTGTGTGTGTGTGTGTGTGTGTGTAGGTGCCTACGTGCCTGATCAGAGGATAACTTGCAGATGTTGGTTTTCTCCTTCCACCGTGTGGATCTCGGGGATGACCTCAAGTGGTCAGGCTTGGTGGCAGATGTTTTTACCCACAGAGCCATGGCAGTAGCCAAGGACTTTTCAAAAAGGCTTTATGGATATCATGAGGAATCTGAATATTATCTGCTTGTACAGCTTTGCAGCAGGTGCCTTTTCATCCAGCCATCTTACTGGCTGGTGATAAAGTTTTGGGGAGAGGGTAGGCACATACGTTTGTGTGAATGCAGTGATGCACATGCCACAGAGCACATGTGATGATCAGGGACAACTTCTAGTGTTAGCCCTTGAATTCTACCATGTATGAATCAGGATCCCTTTGTTATTTCTCCTCTGTACACCAGGCTAGATGCTGTGTACTGCCGTGAACTGCAGATTCTCCTATCTTGTCCTACCATCTCCCAGTAGAAACCCTGGAATTACAGATGATCATGTTACATGTTCGACTTGTGATTGGGTTCTGAGGATTCACACTCAGGTCCTCACGCTTGTGTGGCAAGTGCTTTTGCCTACTGAGACCTCTTCCTAGCTCCTTTGGTGGTCTTTGAATATGAGCTATTTTGTCAAAGAAAATATTCTCAATGGGGACAACCAAAGAACTGAACTCTATAAACAAATACACTTCTCTGACTGCAGTGACTGTTTCATTCTCTGTAGCTCTAGAGTCCACTGAGAACTTATGTATGGCTACTGGATAGTGACATATTTTTGCACAGTTACAAAGCTACAGAAGTGTTAAAAGGCAATTCAGCAGATTAGTTTCTACAGAGAATAAATGATGTTAGATTATTCAAGGAAGTTTTATGAGCTTTAGGACAGACAATAAAAATTTATGGACTTAAGGCAAGAAGCCTCATATAATGCATGGGAAGTCTTTGAACACATGAAATTTCACAGTTCAAAAGATCTGCTATTTAATGTTTTTAGTTTTGTGGAATGTACATAGTCTATTATATACTTTTAGGGTTTTTTTTTAACTGAAAAATGACTTCATTGAAAAGCCTGCAGAAATTGTCATTACAGGATTCTTTCCCTGTTGGTTATATGTCTCAATCTTTTTTGCTTTATTGATTTTTTGCATTGCTCTCATTTACAGATTTTGTAAATCACATGTTATAGTCAGAAACATATAGTTTTGATATATGAAAATATTAAAATATACTATAAAGTTTTAAAAGTAATATTCCTCTGGAGAAATTAAATTTGACATGACTGTCATATGAAAGAGATTACATACTTGTTTATTTTGTATGTGTGTGCATGGTGCACATGTGGAGGTCAGAGCACAAGTTGTGGAAATTGGTTCTCTCTTTCCACCACATGGGTCCCAGGAATCGAACTCAAGTCATCAGGCTTGATGGCAAGTACCTTATTCACTCATAGGCCCAATGAACTTTTATGAATCAGATAGTAAGGGTCACTGCAATCAGGACAAGACATAGAGGATAGACATGTAGATCATTGAAAAAAGTTCAATTAAAATATATTAAAAATTAAAAATATTAGAAAGAGAATCCAAAACTTGGAAATAGATCCCCTTAGATAAACCTAAGTGAATTAAAGATAATCTGTTCAACAATAGTGTTGGAGTGATTAGCAATCCATATACATAAGGAAAAGAGGGAGCTTGTGAGATGGCTATGGATCTTTGTAAAGGGGCTTGCTGGAAAACTCGACAACCTAAGTTCAATCCCACATGGTAGAAGGAAAGAGAAACTCCTGCAAATTGTCTTCTGACATCCACATGTGCATTAAGGCATACACAGGCATGGGCCCCCAGACATCCACACACTAAATAAATAAAATAAATAAAAATTATGAAAGTAAAGAAGAAAGGGAGATAGGGAGGAAGGAAAAGAAAGGATCAGGAAAAACAACAAGATAAACACATCATCACAGTGATCATAGCCTCGTCTCTCATATGAATTATAAATCTTAATTAATGTGAGTGTATACATTATGTAGGTGGTAAGAACAAAGCAGGAAAATTGTTCCAAACTGTCCTTTGGGTCTAAGGCGAGGAAAGCATCCCCCTGTTGGTTATATGTCTCAATCTTTTTTGCTTTACTGATTTTTTGCATTGCTCTCATTTACAGATTTTGTAAATCACATGTTATAGTCAGAAACATATAGTTTTGATATATGAAAATATTAAAATATACTATAAAGTTTTAAAAGTAATATTCCTCTGGAGAAATTAAATTTGACATGACTGTCATATGAAAGAGATTACATACTTGTTTATTTTGTATGTGTGTGCATGGTGCACATGTGGAGGTCAGAGCACAAGTTGTGGAAATTGGTTCTCTCTTTCCACCACATGGGTCCCAGGAATCGAACTCAAGTCATCAGGCTTGATGGCAAGTACCTTATTCACTCATAGGCCCAATGAACTTTTATGAATCAGATAGTAAGGGTCACTGCAATCAGGACAAGACATAGAGGATAGACATGTAGATCATTGAAAAAAGTTCAATTAAAATATATTAAAAATTAAAAATATTAGAAAGAGAATCCAAAACTTGGAAATAGATCCCCTTAGATAAACCTAAGTGAATTAAAGATAATCTGTTCAACAATAGTGTTGGAGTGATTAGCAATCCATATACATAAGGAAAAGAGGGAGCTTGTGAGATGGCTATGGATCTTTGTAAAGGGGCTTGCTGGAAAACTCGACAACCTAAGTTCAATCCCACATGGTAGAAGGAAAGAGAAACTCCTGCAAATTGTCTTCTGAAATCCACATGTGCATTAAGGCATACACAGGCATGGGCCCCCAGACATCCACACACTAAATAAATAAAATAAATAAAAATTATGAAAGTAAAGAAGAAAGGGAGATAGGGAGGAAGGAAAAGAAAGGATCAGGAAAAACAACAAGATAAACACATCATCACAGTGATCATAGCCTCGTCTCTCATATGAATTATAAATCTTAATTAATGTGAGTGTATACATTATGTAGGTGGTAAGAACAAAGCAGGAAAATTGTTCCAAACTGTCCTTTGGGTCTAAGGCGAGGGAAAGCATCCTTTGTTGTACACCAGAAGTGGCTGATGAAATGAAAAGTGTAGAAAGGATTCTCAAATCCAAACACTTAACAGTGTCAAGAAAACAACTTTGTGACAAGGAAGTGGGCCTGACATGAAAAGACACTTCGTGAGTGATGCTGCCCACGTGACTGATCTTTTCAACTGCATCAGCACTTGTGGAAGCCACTTAACACAGTGAAGCATCACTCAACCCCCTACCTATAAAAATGGATAAAATAAAAGCTAATGATTGCACCAAATTACAGCAGGCACAGAGGGAACTAGATCACTCCACATCACTACTGTGAGCATGTAGTGGGGGCAATTTATCTCAGTGATTTTTTTGGTAGTGTCCACAAATATAAAACACTAACTACCAACAGATTCACTCCACAATGGTTTTGCCAGAGACATGAAAACTAGACAGCATATGGAATCCTAAACATGGATAATACAGCAGATTCATTATTTATTTATTTATTTAATTTATTATTCATTCATTTATTATTTATTTATTCATTCATTTACTTCCTTGCTTGCCTTTTTTTTTTCTTCACCTGTTTATATGGCTTTTTAAGATAGGGTTTCACTGTGTAGGGTAAGCTTGCCTGAACTCTTTGTACTTTTATTTTTAATAACTACACCTTGAGGAACTTAAAGAAACAGTTCAGCTGATCCAGTGTTAATAGACAAAGCTCAGCATTGAATCCTGGGCACCACATAAATCAGGCATAGTCGTGGTGCCCAGGAAGTAGAGGCAGGAGGAGCAGAAGTTGAAGGAGCTCAGCTGCACAGTGAGTTTAAGCTAAGTCTGGGATGTATGAGACTATCTACTATTTGAAGTAACCAGATGCTCTTTAGTTGAAGAATCTTTAAACTGTGGTAGATCTGTACAATGGCACACAGCTCATAAATATAAAGGAAAAGGTTTTGATGTATGTAAGAACCTGGTGAATTCCAGGGTCACAGCTGATTTTAAAAAGCCAATCCCCAGGGCCCAGAGAGATGACTCAGCAGTTAAGAGCACTGGCTGTTCTTGTAGAAGAACCAGGGTTTGAATCCCAGCACTCATATGGCTAACAACCTTCTGTAACTTCAATTCTGGCGAATCCAGCACCCTCTTCTGTCCTCTGCAGGCACTGCAGAATATGGATGTGCTTATACACTTGGAAGCCTAATACCCATACACATAAAATTTAAATAAATAAATATAAATAAAATTTTAAAAAGCCAATTCACAAATCTGCTATGTGTTTTCAGTTACATAACATTTTTGAAAGAAGAACAGAGTTAGAGTTTCAAAGTGAAGAGGAGAGCTGGGTGTGGTGGTGCATACCTTTGATCCCAGCATTCTGGAGGCAGGTGTACCGATCCCTGTGAGACTGAGGTCAGCCTGGTTGGACTATATAAGGAGTTTCAGGCCAACTGGGGCTACAGGACACCTTGTC